CAAAGAAGCTCCTTGAAGAGCATGTCTCCAATCTCGTGTCCTCTAATATAGTTCTCATAAAATACCAAATAAATTAGTTAAGAAGAAACAATTAAAAGAGTTCATTCACATAAAATAATTTATAGTTAGAAATAAGTAACTAATAATAAACAATCAGATATTAAAAATAATAGTATATAAAATTAATTTTTCTAATGTTTACAGTGATTTATGTAAAGTATAAATTAGATATATAATATATAGGTTAACATATATATCACAAAGTTCCTTCTAGCCAATTGGTGTATAATTGAAACTAGTGAACATAAAATACTTAGTTCAAATCCCATGATAAATTTTTATCTGTGAAGAGTACATGTGAAAATACTGAAATTTGATTTCTGATTTAATATCGGTCTCTTTCTAGTTGATTTGCTGATCGGTACCAATTGTACCTACTTGAACCGCCTGGTAAGAGGCTTGCGTGCCTATTACTATATCACACTACACTTGGCTTTGGGTATATATATATATATATATTTTTTTTTTTTGAAAGGAAGCCCTATAAATTTAATTGCTTAAATCTCAACAGTTTGGGCTTTCTCAGCCTCAAGCATACTCCTAATGTAGTTTGGTGGACAATCATTCCAAATACAAATTTGATTCCAATGAGTATTCAAGTGGGCTAAACAATGGGCCACAGAATTTGAGCTTCTAGGCACAAAAGCCCACTCAACCTGCTTACCAGACATAGTCGAGTTGACTTCCGCCAAATCTCTTATCTCCTTGCACCACACCCCCAACTCAGTACGATCCTCATCATCCTTCTCCAATAACTGAACCAAACTCAGTCAATCAGATTCCACAATCAATGGACTTCATCCCCTTCGATTTGATTCTCTTAAACCAACTAGGATAGCTCTTGCCTCAACCTCCACTGGTCTGCATTTACCTGTCTCCTTCCTAGATACAACTCCGAGAAAGTCCCCATTCCAATTTATGAACACACACCCAATACCAATCCCAGACGGCTTCAAAACCACTGTGTCGCAGTTCATCTTGAAGATTCCAATCGGTGGTGTTTTCCATCCATGGGCGCTAGTCAGTTGTCTCGTATTCGAAGTCGTGGTGCCCTGAGCACGAAGGTAATCAAAGATCCAATCAAGTGCTTTAGGGATAATCTCCTCCACTTCAAGTTTCTTGTTATTGAACATGTGATTGCATCTTTCTTTCCAGATGAACCATAGGATAACACAGAACCTTTGGAGACTTTCATTTGATTGAGATTCGAAATTTAAGAAACCAGTCTCGGCCAGATAAACCTTCCCCATGTTTGAAGATCTCACTTTCACTGCAAGGTTGCCAGAGGCGGCGGGTCCAATCGCATTCTCTCAAGCAATGGATTTGAGTTTCAGGAAGTCCACAGAACGGGCATTCAGAGGGGGCCTCTTCGATTCTGCTCTCAACATTGGTCCCAACAGGTAAGATGTCCCTGCTAATCCTCCATAAGAAGGCTTTTACTTTAGGTTGAATGGAGAGATGCCAAATCCTCTTCAAGTAGCTTATGATCTTTTGAGCTTCCATGTTGCCTTCGTCCGTCCTAGGGTACTCTTTCTGCCATAGCTTCCCGTATGCCGATTTCACATTATAGATACCATTTTCCACTTCAGACCATAGAACTGTGTCTTCTGTAGGGGGATTTCTCAAGGGAATCTTCATGATTTCTGTCTGGTCAGTAGCAGAGAATAGGGTTTGAAGCTTAGATAGATCCCACCATCCACTGTCTCTATCAATGAGGGAGCTTACCCTCAGGTTTTCCCTGTGCTCGCTGTCTTGTTGAATTGGTGAAAGCTTCCTGGTATTGGGAACCCACCAATCCGCCCAAACATTGATACTATCCCCTTCCCCAACTCTCCACCGAAAACCATCCACTATCTCATCCTTCGCTTTGACCAGGCTCCTCCATATAAAACTGGGATTATTCCCTGTGTTGGCATTCAGCAATTCATCTCTAGGAAAGTAATGAGCTTTGAGGATCCTGGCCATCAGTGAATTAAGCCGATTTAAAATATTCCATATTTGCTTCCCAAGCATATCAGTATTGACAGTTCTCAGGTCTTTGAAACCAAGACCACCAGTTTCCTTAGGATGACATAACTCTTCCCATTTGATCCAGTGAATCTTCTTTTCATCATGTTTTTTCCCCCCACCAGAATCTTGTTATCAAGCTTTGAATCTCTTGAAGAATTCCTTCCGGAATTTGGAACATCGTCATAGGATAGATTAGTTGTGCTTGAGCAACTGCTTTTATCAATATCTCTTGACATGCAGTAGATAGAGTGAGGCTTTTTCAGTCTTTAAGCTTCTTCCTCACCCGTTCTTTTAGTTCATCGAACACCTCCCTCTTAGATCTCCAATGACAGGAGGCAATTCGAGATACTTTTGATGTCTCTCTACAACTTTGATCCCCAACGTACCACTGATTTCCAATATTCTGCTCCATTTCACATTCCTGCTAAAAGACACTTCAGATTTAGTGAGGTTAATACTCTGTCCTGACTCCTTCTCATAGATTTTAAGGATACTTTTCAGTTTTTCACATTCCTCGATAGTAGCTCTGCCAAACACTAGGTTGTCGTCTGCAAATAGGAGGTGTGAGATGGTTGGGGCTCTGTGACAGATTTTGATTACATGGATTTTCCCCTCCTTCTCTGCTTTCTTCAGTAAGGTTGAGAAGCCTTCAGCACAGATGAGGAAAAGGTAGGGCGATAGCGGGTCGCCTTGCCTTAACCCTGTTGATGGCTTAATGTCTTGAGAACGATGACCATTAACAAGATCTGAGTATGAAACACTCCTAACACACATCATCATCAATTTAATCTAGTTTTCGTTGAATCCCAACTTACGTAGTACCTTTTCCAGAAAGTCTCATTCAACTCGATTGTATGTTTTAGTCATGTCGAGCTTGACAGCAAAGAAGCCCCTTTTTCCTTTGGTTTTCCTTTTCAAGTAATGAAGGCATTCAAAATCAGTAATAATGTTGTCAGTAATAAACCGACCCTTGATGAAAGCACTTTGTTCTTCAGAGATTAAGTCATTAAGAATCCCTTTGAGTCTGTTGGTCGGAATTTTAGAAGCAATTTTATAGATTACCCTACAAAGGCTAATAGGGCGAAAGTCCTTAGCCATTGTGGGTTTTTTTCACCTTGGGGATGAGCACTATCAGTGTGTGGTTGACTTCTGGAGGAAGGTAACCTTCATTAAGGTACTTTAGGATAGTAGTTGTGACATGGCCTCCAATCGAATCCCAATTTTGTTGGTAAAAAACAGCTGGAAACCCATCCGAGCCAGGAGCTTTCGTAGGGCCCATCTCCTTTAGAGCTTTGCTAACTTCTTCTTCTTTGAATGGAGCAGAGAGTTCTTCATTCATGTTGTCTGTCATTTTTCTTTCAATGGCATTGGCTACAAAATTAGAATTAGGGTTAGGCCTCCCAGTAAATAGAGTACTTTAATAATCAAACATATTATTTGTAACCTCCTTTTGACCTTTGTGCTTTCTCCCTGATTCATCTGTGACCTCTTTGATTGTGTTACGTTTCCTTCGCAAAGTAGCTTCGGAGTGAAAAAAATTCATATTTTTGTCCCCACCTTTAAGCTAATCCTCTTTGGATCTCTGCCTCCACTTCACTTCAACTTTATGAATAAGATCCGTTCTCACAGTTTTCAGTTCCCTTCTTCTTTGTATTTGTTGTTCAGTTTTCAGGTATTATTTAATTCTCGTGAGCTCTTGATCGATCTTATCGATCCTCTTCTGTAAGTTTCCAAACTTCTCCTTACTCCATCTTTGAAGTTCTTTTTTGCACTCTCCCAATATGTTGAGAATGTCTCCCTCTTCAATAGAGTTGTAGGCTTTAGATATTACTTCTCTGCTTTCAGAGTACTGAAGCCAGTAGGATTCCATTCTATACTGCCACCCCCACTTGATGTCCTCTTCTTCTTGATCCTTTGTATTCATTAGGATAGGGCAGTGATCCGAACCACACCTGTTAAGGTGAGTTACTTTATGGTTTGGGAACATCAGCTGCCATTCCCAATTTCCTATGCATCTATCCAGTCTTTCCTCAATAAAGCTGGCTCCCCCTCGACCATTGTCCCAAGTAAAAGGGTAACCCTCAAATCCACAGTCCATAAGTCTATAGAATTCCAAAACATCATAGAAACCTGAAACCATATTCTCATTGATATGTCGACCTCCTTCCTTCTCATCCCCCGCCATCACTTGGTTGAAATCTCCCATACATAACCAGGGGAGGTCACTGGTGCCTATCAGGCTTCGAAATTGATTCCAAGATTGATGTCTTCCGCTTCTATTCGTGTTCCCATAGAAACCAGTAAAGCGCCATTTTGGTCCTTCCTCCTCATACTCCACAGTCACATCATAGTAATTTGTAGAACTAGCCAAATAAGATATGGTGATAGCCTCTCTCCAGAATAAGCAGATACCGCCAGCCTTAATACCATTATCTTCTCTGGATGGGATTCCTCATCCTTTTTTGAACCCCAGTTTCCATTTTACCTTCCTCCAATCCTTACTAGACAGTCGAGTCTCCATCAAGAAAAGAACATCTGGTTTTTGTTTTCCAACGAGCCTCTTTAACTCATCAACTGCAGAGGTTTGGCCCAGACCTCGACATTTGTAACTTATGAGCTTCATTGGGCTCAACGGCCTTGCTCCTCGGCAAGGACCGCCACTTCGCCATCCACAATAAGGTTTGAATCTTGCTTGAACTTTTTCCACCACAGGGTATAGGATCGATTTCCATGTCTTTCACTCCATCCTCAAACACCTTCTTACTGCCTGATGTCTCCCCAACTCCTTCAGGCTTCTCATCTTTTTTCCTTTCCAGAAGAACCCACTTCTTACTGCCTGCTGGATTAGTACCTGGTATGTACCCCAAGGGGTTTTCCTTCTGATCAGCCTGCCTTACTCCAGTCTCTTTCAACTGTGGTACAACATTTGTTTATGCACTCTTGCTCATCCTGAATTGCCCTTCTTCCCCATTAGCATCATTGTCTTCATTATTCCTGTGAGGGAAGTTTCTCTCTTCTTTACCTACTTTTGGACCTGATTCTTTAAAGCTAATAACTTGTAGTTCATTTGCAAGCTCCTTTGTATTGATCTCTCTCGACTCAGTCTCCTGACCAGCCTCTATCCCCTGATTGGCAACCAACTTCCTTCCTTCTTGTTCTTCTTCCTCATTTTGCTTCTCTATCTGCTCCACTCTTTTGACTCGAGGCCCCTTCATGATTTTCCCTTCTTTCAACTCACTCCACAGGTTGTCCAGCCTCTTCTTTTCCTCTTTATATTTCATATCGATTCTTCTTAATGGGGATTCAGCTCAAAGCCATGTTCCATATTCTTCTCTCATTTTGGCTTCTGAATCATCCAGCTTTTTTGGGCACCCATTCTTTAAATGGCCCAAGATTCCGCAGTAGTAGCAGTAGATTGACAGCTTCTTATTGGCTACCTTGTATGATACAGGTCCTAGGGACCCATCCAACTTCATGAATCTTCGTAGTGGCCTTTTGGTGTTGATAGAGACTCGAATCCTCAGCTATTCACTATCTCGTCCAGAATGGAACTCGTCCCACTTAATGTAAGAGCCAAACATTCCCCCTATTTTTGTTGCCATGTTCTTGTTCCTGAGTTTCAGTGAGATTTTCTGGATCCTAACCCATATCTCTGTTATTGAGAAGTCGATACCTTTCGTTTGTAGATCTGGTGGAATCTCCTTGAACACAATTAGTTGTTTCTCGTAGTGCCAAGGGCCTCCATGGAGAACCCTATCCCTGTCTTCGTAGCAGTAGAATTGCATCAGCATAATACCTTCCTGATTTATTCTGACATCGAAATCTTTCTTCAGCTGCCAGACCTCTTTTAGAATGTTCTTCATGACTCTGGCCGAGCCAAGCCTTCTTGTAATTATTTTCCCTACTACTCCAAGTTCAGTATTCACCTCTTAAGTGCCCTTTTCTTCGTCAGAATCTTCTATCTCGATACTCGTTTCTTCTTCTTCTGTTAAGCTTACATTTGCTATTTTGTCTATGATGTCAGATACGGTTGCCATAGGTGGGACAGCGAAACGTCACTGGGATGGTAAGCAGAAAAAGGAGAGGACACCCTAACTTCAACCACGAGACTTCGAGAGCAAGGATGGGGAGGGGATCGAATAAGTGTCACAGAGCAGTACAAATGGTCTCACAGACTGCAAGAGAGAGTCAGGAATTCAAATCCGCAGGAGGCGGGAGATGAACAGTCACTCTGATGGACAGAGGAAAGGAAAACTCGCATAGTGGAGAGAAGGAGAACTCTGATTACCACAATTTGGTGGCATCGGCTCTGTATATTTAGAGTCTCTAAATATCTAGTTTTGTTCTCTTGCATGTGCCATTTGTCCCATTTATTTGTTTTTGCTATATGGATCCCTTTTTAATAGGGACGGGATACGGTGACAACCCCTAAGGGGGTTGTCAGATTGACAACCATGGTATTTTGGGTATGAAAAAAAAAGAATTTATTAATTAATTATTTTGTATTAATTACACATTGAGAATTAAAAACACATATTAAATACATGCCGTTTTAAAAAAAAAAATTAAACCCTACAATTAATAAACTTGTATCTTTCTCTATATCTCTCTTTTTTTTTCTTCCAGCAATCTCTCCGCTCTGACGCCAAACTTTCTCCGACCGGCAGACTTTTTCCCGGTGAGATCTTTCTATCAGACTCACTCCGGCCACCTGCAAAAAAATATCACTTCGTCAATGCGCTAGTGGTAGTGGTTTTCGACTTGTGGTACGCTACCACTGGTATTGGTACGATACCACTACTCACTAGTAGCGCTATCAGCAGTAGTGGTACGCTACCAGGGCTAGTGGTACGGTACCATTACCACTTGTAGCAGTACCAGTACCACTGGTACCGGTACTAGTGCCACTGGTAGCAGTACCATTGCCACTGGTAGCGTACCACTAAAGAATAGTGCAAAAAAATCAGATCTGAAATATTAAAAATCACAGATCTGGAAAAAAAATCAGGGATGAGGAAAGGGGGAGGCAGGTGAGAGGCGGTGACCTCGTGGTGACGGTGGTGGTGGGAGACAGAGGACGACGGGAGGGTTGCGACGGTGAGAGGGTGATGGCGCGGCGGTGATGGAAGGAGGAGGTCGCGATGGCTGCGGTGGGAGAGACGTGACGGTGCTGGGAGGCCGAGGGCGCGACGACGGGAGGGCTGCGGCATTGATGAGAGGCGGAGGGCGCGGCGGGTCGGCAAGAGGGCTGCGACTGCGATGGTGGCAGCCGATAGAGAGAGAGGGAAGAGATGGGAGGAAGAAGAAGAAGAATAGGAAGAAGAAAGATGGCGTGAGATAGAGAGAGGAAAGAGAGAATGTAGGGTTTTATGTATTAATAGGGGTAATAATCTAGTGTGGTCAATTTTTTTAGTCTAAAAATGCCCTTTATCCATTCTGTACCATTGATTTGAAAAAAAGAACAAAGAGACAAGAGAGAAAATGGATTTTATGATTATAAAATGAGTTGTCAATCTCACAACCCTAATGGGGTTGTCATGGTATCTCATCCCTTTTTAATACCACTAGGATATAGCCCGCGCTCTGCTGCGGGATACTATTTCTGTCATAATTTAAATGAGATTCAATATAATCTATTACCATAATTGTTATGTCCCAAACATAGACATAAATGTTGTAATCTTTGACCATTATGCAAAAGAGTGACAGTTTTTGCAGAATAACATGAATGTAGTTAGGAGTGTTGCCAAGTCTCCATGGCATATCTACTAAACTAATAAAAGTTCCATGGCGGAGACTGAAGATTTGCAAAACAGTAGAACAAAATGTTTGCAGAAGTTTCGTGCCTTTGTTGTTTGCACGATATCAAAATGGCAAGCTTTGAAAGACAACATCATTTCTCGAATACTGATCGGTCCCAGAGGGTGAGCACTGTCGCTTTTGGCTGCATGTCTGAATCTGTTTCCCCTACTTTTTTCCATGCGACATTCAACTCCGCAGCATATTTTTTGTTACAGTTCTTTGCGATCAATTCGATGATTTCGTCCTTCTTCAGAAAACTGATAATCAGATGGTGACTCACGAATAAGTGACAAAGCTGCTTCATGCTTAAACACCACATCTATTTCAGATCCTCCTTGGCGACATTTCCCTTCCAGTTTGTATGTCAATCTTGCAATAAAGTTTTTTTTGTTAGGTTAGACAAAGAGTATCATTATGACTTGTGTAAACATGGGAGAATGGTTAGAAGCTTACCCTGTGTTCTCTCCACGAACTTTGCAGATGCTTTTTCTGTATATAAACTTTGGAATGTTAATCAATGTCATGTAAGTAACCTGTTGCAAAAAATGTCAGATGCATTATACAGGTAAACAGATGGAAATGAACAGTTGTTGTCAATTTTGGTGTTTGTTCGTTTACCTCTGTGAAATCTGACAGGCCCTCCATCCTTTCTTTTATCTCTCTCAGCGATTTCTTTTGCAGTTGATTGCTTAGCAGATGTCCACTTTTTTTGCAAGTAGCATCATCGATGAAATATACAGGTTTGCGACATGCAAGAAAGCTACACGTTGAAAATAAATGTGTAAGTACACTAACTCGATAGGATTTGAACCAATCAGTTGGGTAAACAAATACACAGCAACTCACATGTTCATGACATCCTTGCAGCAGTCCTGATAAGAATGGATGATGAGCTTGCTTGCAATTGTGGATTGAAATTCATGCTGATACTTACTGTTATGTCTGGGGGATACTCTACTAACTGATCTGATTGTCACAATCAGTGGTAACTTTGACTCAATTGCTGGAGCATTTTTTTGAAAATCATCAATGTCATGGCCACTGTATTCAACATAAGCCTTTGCCCCACTGATTGTAAACCAATGCGTTAACTACACGTTTTGACAAAGTAAAAAAAAAGTGTACAATCTTAAGTGCATACCAGACATCTTGTATGAGCAGGTCTAATTTCTGAATCCTTTCTTGAATTCTTTCTGGATGAGTTAGTCTTCTAACACATCCTGTAACATCTATAGATTTAATGTTTGTTATGCTTTGTTTAATGGTGTTTTTAATCAAGGATAGAGAGACATATATTTACCTGAATGGCAGACAAAGTCCTCTGATAGTTGAGGCACAATGGAAAAATCGGCTGCTGTGTATGATCCTGCTGGGAATTGTTGGGGTCCATTTCCTTCTTCAATGTGTCTCCTAATTTGATCTGAAGTGAGGAGCAGGCGTAACTCTCGATGGACAACGCGTGGCACTGACCTTGCTGGACTTGCTACAATATCTTGTAGTTCATGCAGGCAACCAACTTTTATTTTCTGAAAAACCTCAGATGCATCTTCTTCTTCAACTTGTGCTTCGATCAATTTGTTCTGTAAAGTCAATGGTAGATAAATATGTTGTAAAGAGTTTTTGTTCTTTTAGCATTTGTCAGTAGGTTAATTGATGTCCAGTGTTTGTATATTGGCAAGTTCTTTGTCCTAACACTGAATCAAATGCACTGACGAATATTTATGAATATGGTTTGGGTATCTGGAGTCAAACCTTTTTGTCAAGCCAGAGCATGTGATGTGTCCTTTTCTTCCATGTGGATAAAGGCACTTCTCGGAACTCAGTCCATGTAACGACATGTCTTGCAATAACGGTTCGATTGTTTGTTCCCAAACGCAGTCCCCAAAAGAACATGCTTGATTCAATAGACTCTGCAATCCGATTAAAGAAGAATCGATAAATAATAAATGGGTAAAACTTGCATAGGAATCGAGAAGTTCTTGTCGGATTTCTTTCCAGATTCAATGTATTTACCTTTTAGTTCGTTCGGGTCCATTTTGTGTGGGTCCATGGAATCTCACGTTTCAGTCGTACTACACAACTGTAAATCTGTTGGTTAGAAGAATGCTTCCAGTTCTTCGAGATCCTGGTTTCCCTTTTTTGTTTTTAATCTTGACTGCGCGGTTGATTTTAGAAGGCATAAAAAACAATCGGTAGTTTATGTAAGCTAGGGTTAACTTAGGGTAAGTCCTTTTTGGATCGATTGTTTGGGCCTTGACATCGTGTTTGGGCTCTGTATGGTATGCAATGGGTTCTAACTATTGAATCAGGCCTTTTTACAGAAAAGCCTACAATACGTTCCCGCGATGAATGTTCGTCAAGTTGTATCAGTTGGGCTCATCGATTTTCTTTATAAGTTCTCTCTGGATATTCTGAATCGATGTTAACTGATCATAACTCATGACTGCTTTCAAGCTTTGAGTTTCGAAATAATAAACACAAAACTTGTCTCTTGTTAAGAACAACGCAAGAACTGGAAGAACAAATTTCCCCAGGCGTAAAATTCAAAAAGTTGTGAGAGTTAATAATAATCACTTCGAGCTTCTTCGATGATCTCAAAATTAACCAGGTGCAATATCTGTGAAGGCTTCTGAATATACAATGTTTCTTGTGTAATTTGCTGGAATGTCCTCTTCATTTTCAATCAAGAATCTCAAACCATTTGCAGATCTTACTCTTGATGCTGCCACATAAAGCTGTCCATGACTGAATACTGGTTTGGGCAAATAGACTCCAACCTTGTCCAGAGTCTGACCCCGGCTCTTATTTATAGTCATCCCATAACATAACCGTACTGGGAATTGCCTCCTCTTCAGTATAAAAGGCCAGCGTTTGTCTTCTACGTTGAGTACTATTCGTGGTATAACAACCTCTTTTGTGTCAAAAGATCCTCCCATGATGTTTCCAACAATGATATTTTCCCCCAATTTTGTAATCAATATCCTCGTACCGTTACACAGGCCGTTTGGTGGGCTCAAAATTCTCAACAACATGATCGGAGTGTGAACCTTAAGTCTTATTTCATGATCTGGAACACCATTGAACTGAAGAGCATTCAAAAATTCTGTTGGGTAAGTTTCAGCAAACAGTTGAGGTACCTCTGTATCAAGTTGCATAGAGTCTGAACTGTAGTAGCAACGGCAATGTCCAGGAATTTTGTGCAACATGAAGTCATTCACTTCAGTCACAACTGCATTAGTAGGAGTAACGATTGCCCTTCCACTTAGGTAATCTGTGCTCATGTGTTGTTCCTCAAATGTGTCATATATGTCATTTGTGATTGACTCTATTGGATTGTTTCCAGCATAGATCAAGAGTATTTGTGCACTACAACAAATTCGGTCTATTATGACGAGGCAATTTTGTCATATTAGATACATATTTTGTCATATTAGGTATAGTATGACAAAAGGTGTTGTCACAAAGGTTTGTCATTTTATCGCCGTCAGGATAGGTCAAATGTGACAAAAAATTAAAATAAGGTTGTCACATTTGTTATCAATATAACTGAGGTTTTCGGTATTATATTGTGACAAACAGAGATGTTATGACAACATATTTTGTCATTACGGTTGTCATAAAAGGCAACTAGGTTCAGCGACGAAGACTTTTTTTTGGAGTAATTTATATTTTTTTCCTTTCAATTTATTTTTTCGGATTTCATTTTAGTATATTTCAGAATTAATTTTCTTGAATACTTTTTTAGCTATTCACAGTTTATTTTTTTGTCCAGATCTAAACATCACCTCTTCGAAACCAAGATTTTGCATTCGGCCAAGATTTAATAAACTACCAATCCCCAGTTTTATATTCACATCCAAACTCCAGATTGGCCATTTAAAAACCTTAATCCTGATAATCAGTTTGAAGAATAGTACCCAACGTTTCTTCAATCCAAAACCTGCAAAAAAAAAAAAAAACCAAGTCCAAATTTGTAAACAGAATAAAATAGAAGAGAATCGTGAGCATATTGAGAGGAGAGACGTGGAATTGGAATGAAATATAAGAGAAGAGACGCAGATTGACCGTTATAGCCGATACAGAGAGGAAGACCAGATCTGTGTTTTGATTTTTCGGTGAGAAACGAGAGGAGAAGGGGTCTGCAAGCGGCTAGGGTTTTCTAGCCAATCGTTGCCATCATCGCCTGTCGATCTCTCCGCCCTTCGCCTCTCGATCTCTCCTCCCCTTGCCTCTCGATCTCTCTGCCATCGTCGCCGGATCTCGCCAATCGTTGCCCTCTCAATCTCTCCACCAGCGTCGCTGGTTATCGCCAGAGGAGGCATCTACTGCGGGTTTTTTTTTAGAGAGGAAGGAAGAGATGAAGACTTCATTTTCTTCGAGAGTAGAGGAGCAGATGAAGGGTCGTTTTTTGGAGAGAACGAAGAAAGAAAATAAGAAGGAAAGTTTAAAAGCGGGCAGAGGGGGGTTGATGTTTCATCATAATAAAGATAATAAAGAAAATACGTATCCTTTATCTTTCCTCTTTTCCAAATTTTTTTGTCTCACACGATTCCTAACTTTATTTTACATCCGCATTTACCTAATATAATAATAATAAAGAAAATATGGGTTTTTTATTATGTCTTATTTTATTATTATTTTTTGTTTATTCCCTTTAATGTTTCCCCCCAAACGGGTTTCATCTTGCCTAATTTAATTATTATTTCTACTTTTTTCTTCTCCCGACTAATTTTCTTTCCTTAAATATGGGTCTTTTTATTGTTAAATAAATATGGGTCTTTTTATTATTAAAAATGAAAATTATGTTCATCTTCTATTATTGTGTCTAATATAATTGAGTTTCTCAAATCATATGCAACTACTTTTATATCGAACATAATGGAATTTCTCAAACTGCACGTCTAATATTTCAAATTTCCTTATATATATAGAACTACAGTGAAGTAGGACACATTAGACTACAAAATGGAATTGCACTATGATTTATTAAAACATATAAAAATTTATCGTTTAATAATATTTCATGTATTGAAAATGCGTAACATATCAATAGAACTAACTTATCGATTATGAATATGTATAATGAATTGAATAAAGAGTTTATCTACGTTGGTGAATATTATAAGAAAAAAATGTTAAAAATATTACAAAAATCAAAATTAGGAAATAATAAAATTTATGTATGCATGATGGCGATCACATAAAAAACATTTACCTCCCAAAGGGCAGAGTTCATGCTAGTTTTAGGGTAAGGGCAATTTTTTTATGGTGAGAAGGAGAGATTTTCAAATTTTTAGGGGCAAGTTTTGGTGGAATAGGAAATTTTTGGAGCCATAAATTTTGTTGAAAATTCAAAATCATTAAAATTGTGTATGTTAGACTGAAAATTGGGGTCTACAAATTGGGTGGATTGAAAACTGGACGGTTAACAATTGGGTGGGACTGAAATTTGGGTTTGTGGTGTTGAATTTTTTTTTATGTTTAATACACGCAAATATGACGAAAATGCCTTTTGTCAAAAACAAAACCATTATATTATGACGAATATGCCTTTTGCCAAAGCCAAAACCACTATATTATGACGAACATGCTATTTTGTCAGCTCGTCGTGAGATTATTGCTATCTATTATGACAAAATACTTTGTCAATTAAACAATTTAGGGAGATATAATGTGACAAAAGCTACTCTGACGATATAATTTGTCACTTTTATGTATCTTATGTCTCGTTATGGGATGCATATTGTGATAAACTTAATTGTGACACGAAATATTTGTCACATTACTCATTTTAAATGACGACTTATTCTGACAACAACTTTTTTGTCAAATTAGGCATACCAAATAGGACATATATTATTTTTGTCATATTACCGTACCTATTATGACAAACAAAAATGACAAAATACAATTTTTGTCCTAAGAAGCCAAATTTGTTGTAGTGGTGGTATCTCAATCCAATCTGAAGGTGTGTTAGCCATAAAGGATTTTGTTGGAAGCCTTCCATCTCCCAGTGCCAGAATCCACTCACCAAAGTTCATTCCACAGCCGACCAGGTTTCTATTATCCTGTGAATCATTAAGCCTCATGTTCCTTGACAGTTTGAGCACTTTAAAAAAGGGCCACAATGATGACCTTGTGATTGATTTAGGACTGGAGCACACCTGGAGCAGGCAGCATCAACACTCCTTCCTGACCAGAATAGGACTGACTTAGGGTTTGGGACGAAGAAACACTGCCTGTGACATCTGGAACTCCTGTAAGACCAAGCACTGGGCCCTGAACATCACGGGGCATAACTCGGAAAACACGGAATTCACCCGTAGATACTCCACTTGACCCAACCATCGGAAGCTTGACCTCAAATCTGACAAACTGGCCGAGCAAAGCCTCAAGTTCAGGCGGCAACTGGCCAGACCTGTGAGGATATCTCTGGGCCAGCAGTTGGGCAGATGTGAGGACCAAATTGTTCCCACACGGGCCGAAAATAATGAAAGGGGCCTCGTCAGTGGCATCACGCAGGGTTAATTGGATCTTGTAGCTAGAGACGACACAGTAAAACACAGAGACAATTTCATCAGGATAGGCGTGGGAGTGCAAACTAACAAAAAGTAGGCAAATTCTATGAGACCTGACAGGCGCACATTGAAATGAACAAAAACAACAACTAATGATCAGACAAAAACACACACCCAACTGTCACTTGCTGCTTAGTGATCTCCCAATGGTCAGAACACCAGTAGTTACCATTTCGCCACGTAGAACACTTTTTTCTGCACATGCTGCATGACATGTAATACCACGGGCTCCGGGACTCAACTGATCGGACTATACCACCACAACGATGCTTTTCATCCTGAATATAAACATTGATAATCTCAGAAAGCAATCAAAACACATAAATAAATGGACAACCCGAAGACCATTCTAAAATCAAGAACTACATAAGAATGCAACTCACGTCAGAAGCACCGCCATGGTGCAAATCAAGAAGCTCAGCTATGGTCCTGGTTCTCCGCTCAGCATCAGCAACAGCGTCCCCTGGTGTCGCAAACTTGACCGGCAAATCAGCAACAGGAACTCTGGATCCACCAAAACTGTATAGATGGATACAAAAAAGTAAACAAACCAAACACCACAAAGCAAATCTGGAACAACAAAATCACAGTTTAACAACAAAGAACCCACAAAGCAGCGAGTCTGTATGCTTCTGGTATCCTCGGGCTAACAACTATACGGGTTCCAGAGGAGCTCGAACAGGAATATTCACCAGCTACACAACAAAAACAAAATCAGTTCATAATTTATGATCAAGCAGAATGGAAAAGAGTCAAAATACACACCTATCAAACGGCCAACCATGAGCCCCCCAACTCCAACAATCACTGGCTCAATGGAGTCCGCCTGAATCAAAGCAGGTCGATCAACGACTGCCGTCAGTTCATTCCAAAGCGTGATCGACACTCTCTGGTTCCTGACAGCAAAACAAAGGATCATATCTTACGTGACGATGATGAAACAGTATTCCCCAGTGGGAAAATAAAACAACACAAAAGACCTACTGTGCATTCTCAAGGACCAGAACTTGTTTTGGAGTCGAGCCGTGATTAGTAACCTGATGATCAATCCCGCTAATAGATGAAGACGGCCGACAAAATCTGACAAAAAAAAAAGAGTAATAAGAAGACATAAAACCCAATTCATTTCAGTCAAGAAAACGCAACAATCACCTGCAAGGATACGATTGTCCCCTGAACGGTTAGACAGCTCACTATAAGGAACAACCTCAAAGGAATCAGTTGGAAATTCAGCTGCAGGTAGAGAACAGGCCTGGAAAATAGTTGTTGCTGACAACTCTATTATCAGATCAAATGAGCATGCACGATAGAGATTCCTTGCGGCACTGAGACCAAAAGACCTTAGAACGTAGATAACTCCCACTCGCAGCACACGCTCAAATTCAGACCCAATAGAGACATCAGCAAGGCTCTGAATAAGCATACCCTGAATCAAAAACAAAAAAAGACAGTAAAGAAAGAGCAAAGAAGGGTAAAAAAGAGCAAAAAAACAGGAAAAACTGTAATCACAAAGAATCAACGTAAGAGAATCTACCGTCTGATCCACCCAAAGGCAACAGTGATTAAACACCCTTGTCCCAGAAGGATTCTTGGCATACCACATATGGAGCAGACGAAGCCTCAGCGTCACCTCTCTGGTACCTCCTTTGAGATTGCAGAGCAGAGTAGCATCCATGGCGAGGAAAAAGGCGAGAAAACAACAACTGAACCACAGAGAACAAAGAGGGGAGAAAAAAAGAGAGAAATGCGTTCCGAGAATGAGTCCTCTTGTGCAAAAAGATTGAGAAATGGCCTTCTCCACCTGAGCGCACACATCGAGGCATGCAAAAAGAATAAGAAACTACCTTCTCCACCTGAGCGCACGCATCGAGGTACTGAATGACGTACACAGTTTTTAAAACAGTAAACTTTTCTGACACCCTCCCGCCATTAGGTGAATAACCGGTATCAATCAGCCGCCCACCATTCCCAAAGCACCTCCAATCCTAGCCAATGAGCCAGGAAGTTTCTCCAACATAGTCATGCGAACAACAACCCAACACGACCCTCTAGCAATCCCTAACAGACACAATCATATCATGCAAGACTCACCGATGACATCTGAAGGCCCCGTCCCTCAGGTGAATAACCGGTATCAATCAGTTGTCCACCATTCCCAAAGTACCTCCAACCACAGCCAAACAGTCGCCAATTTTCTCCAACACAGTCCTACGAACAACAGCCGGAATCCTCAACAAACACAATGATATCGCGCAAGACTTACTGAGCACATCTGAAGACCCCATCCCACGTGCCCACTCGGGCCAAAGTAAAATATCGATCTCTGATGACCAACGCGCGTCCGGGCCACCAAACGACCGCAACTAAGGCCAACCAGAAGGCAACGACCAGTCCCACCCCGACCGAGCCCCCAAACTCCGTCAGATCGCAATGAGGCCTCACCCAACAACAGCCCACACGCCAGCCCACGCCAGTTTGAAACAGTACATCTCAGTCACGTTGTACAGTAAAAGGTGTCTGCGTGTACAGTACCAGGGGCTGCGGTGGGTTTCTTTCTTTCAATTTGGCAGTCAACTGCTTCCATTTTTTTAATCAAACTTTCCTCTTTTAGCATTAGGTGATTCAAATTTTGATATGGAGGAGTGGAAGAATGGATGCTGGCGTCAAATTAATGAATAGTATTAGTCTTTTTTTTATGTAACTCTACAATTAGAATAGCCGTAATGACCGCTTCGTTTCTTTGTCATTCGTTGCTAGAAAACTCAACTCAATGCATCAGCTCAAA